CCTCACCAGAGAAAACAGGACCAAGGCAGGAAAAGAGGGGGCCTGAGACAAAGCACGTGGAGCATGCTGCCAGAATAGATCACCAGATTCTAAGAATGGAGCGTTTGGGGCTCGCTGCCTTTTGTGGTAATGAGCTCCCTGTCGCTGGGGGTATGCGAATGAAGGGGAGCCATCCCCTTCTGAGACGGATGCCCACGCGTGTCTGGTTGGTGGTGTGGTACCAGTGAGGCATCCACTGCCTGTGGGGGCCACCAGGGATTGCTGCCAGGCACGCTTCAGCCGGGAGAGTTTCCCATCCCAAGCATTCCTGGAAATCTGGCTGTGGGAAGAAGCCACATATGTCCAGGGCAAAGCAGATTTTTTTTTTTAAGAACACACATTTAAGTTCCTGGAGAGATTAACCCTCATCTCCCCGGGGCCCCAGCAGGACCCCCGCCTGCCCACTCTGGCTCTTCTGTGGGTTTGCTCCTGGCTAGCACGTGGGGCCTGGCAGTGGGGCCTGGCCCTCTGACCGTGACCTCCTGGCAGACCCCATCCTGGGTGTCTTGCTGCAGTGCACAGCCCTGCCCCCCCCCCCGCCCCCTCGGAAGGCTTGGGGGTGGGGCCTGCTGGGGAGACTCGATGTCGGGCCAGGCCCTGGCCAGCTGCTGGGACATGGCCGTGGATGGCCTGTCCTCCCAGCAGCCCCGTGGGACTCTCCGGGTCCTCAGTCAGTTTGCAAATGTCCCCTAATTGCCACATGTGGCCGTGGCGCTGGTGACCGTGGTGCAGCCCTCCGTGAGGTCATGGCTCTGGAAAAGAGGTTGGCCAGGGACAGGGTTGAGATGGAAGCCGTCAGTGTCCTCTCGGTCCCTCGGGACTCTGCTGCAGAATGGAGGCCGCTGGGGGGCTGCTGAGGCAGGCCAGGCTCCGGGAGGCTGGGGCGAGGCTCGGGGTGGGGCGGGCAAGCCGAACCTGCCGTGGCTCCCTCGCTTTCCTGGCCTCCGGAACGGACCAGGGCCAGGAGGGAAACTGCTCCCTGGACAGCGCGGTGAGGGTCGCTTTCGGCTGATTCCCAAGCCCAGCGAGGTCACCTTGCTGTGACCCAAGGCTTCTGCTCCACGGGGAAGAAGCTAGAGGTGGAGAAACAAGAGGGGCAGGGATCGATGAAACCGCAGAGATCGAGGGCGGGAGACAGGGAGGGAGACGCGGGAGGCGGGGCGCAGGGGCCGGTGGGCCGCTGGAATTAGCATCAGCGCTGAACAGAATCTCTGTTTCCGCCGCGTTAATAATTTATCCCCACTGCAACTTTTCTTACCAATAAATAGGAAATAATTTGTTAGCGAGAATTCCCTGGGCGAGGCCCTCTCCCCAAGGGGAGGAGGGTGTGTCTCCGTCCTTCCTTCCAGACGACACGGAGGATGAGGAGGAAGCCGCACAACTGGAGATCTCAGGATGTCAGGGTCAGAGCCTCTTGGCCCACTCCTGCCTGACCATTTCAAGAGGAGGGAAACTGAGGCACAGATAGGCCGAGGCCCCAGCCAGGGTCACCTGTGGCGTTACGGGCAGCCCCTGCAGTCCTATCGGCGTGACTCAATGGGTTGGAGTGCTCGATCCTGATTTATGCGCTGTCCCAGAAGTCCCAGGAGCCAACCCAAGGGTGTGAGTGCTCCTGCGGCTTCCCTCCCTCGGTCCTCCTCCCTCAGTCCCCAAACTGTGAACAAGAGCCGGCTCTGCTCTCGGCTTTTCCCGGCTCCCAGCCCCGGGCGCCTCCCACCTGGGACCGCAGCTGCCTCCAGCCCATCCGGGAGGTTGACAGCGTGGCAGACAGGGTCCAAAAATCTCTCAGCTGCTCAACTGTTCTGGGCCTGGCACATGCCTGGGTGTGACGCCTGCCTCCCCCATGGAGCCGGTGTGTGTCTGCGGAGAGTGGCAGGGGCTGGGGGTGGCGGCGTCCTCCCCAAGGGTGAAGGACACCATCTCCCCATTTGTCTCCAGGCTGGGGTGCTTCTTGTCCCACCACAAGCGGGGTGACCTTGGGAGGTTGTTCAGCCTTTCCTCGTTCATGAAATGTAAATAAAAGGATTCCTTTCATTTGCAGGACTAGGGACTGAACCCAAGGTTTTTGTACCGAGCTACATCCCCAGCCCTGTTTTTTAATTTTTTATTTGAGACAGGGTCTCACTCAGTCACTAAGTTCTCTGGGACTTAGTTGAAACTTGCAATCTTCCTGCCTCAGCCTCCCAGAGTGCTGGAATGACAGGCGTGTGCCATTACAATTCCAAAACCCAGGATGCTGTGAGCCCCGGCTCTGACAGTTGGAGCCATGGGTCCGGGGGTGGCTGGGACATTCTCCTGGCCTCCGGCACCCCGAGCAGTCCATACACAGGTGCTGGCCTCGCAGTACCTGAGGCTGGGCTTGCTCCTCTCATGGAACCCCCCTTCCCCCGACAAAGATGTCCCATGTCCCCAAAGAATGCAAGAGCTGGGCTGTGGTGGGGCCAGAGGCAGACGGGGCTATCTGCAGGGAGTTTACCCCTAGTTGAGAAGCCAAGACAAAATATCTTTTCCTGACCTGTCCCACGTTCACGACTGAGGCCTGACAGAAAGGGAGGGATTAACCAGCGAAAAGCACACAGATGAATTCAATCCCGGTTTTGCTGACATGGAGCCTTTGTAAAGAATGTGGACCCAAAGACAGAGGTAAATCTGTGCGTTTTGCTCAGTTCAGTGGACACCCATGCATTCATGCAAATGCATGACTGGATTAAGAAATAACTCTGAAGCAGGGAACAATGGTGCATGCCAGTCATTCTAGCACTCTGGAAGGCTGAGGCAGGAGGATTGCAAGTGCAAGCCCAGCCTGGGCAACTTAGGGACCTGGCAAGACCCTGTCTAAAAATTTAAGGAAATACGGGCTCAGAAAAGGCATACCCTCCCAGGGTAAAGCTGAGATAGAAGTCAAGGCTTTCAGGCCCCCGCCTCAGACAGGGGGTCCCAAGCAGGGACATGGGGCGCAACTGTATGGAAAGTGGATTTCTGCATTTTTGTGGAGAAAATTCCAAGGCTTTTAATCAGGGTACTTTTGGACTACTTGTGAGATGGTTAAAGCGATTGATGCTCTTGATAACGTCACAGGTGGGCCTTGGCGCCATCTAGAAAGGTCCGGCATGTGCCCACACACCTGACTTGCGAGCCCTGTATCAGGTCACTTAATCTTGGCGTTGTTTGTGCCCGCAGCTACTCTGATCCTGGAAGGCTGACCCCAGGAGCCGGCAGGGCCGCCCCTCCCTCACACACTGTCAGCAGCTGTCAGCGCTGGGGGTGGAGGGAGATTGGGGCGAAGTGGGCCTTGTCCCCAGCTCCAGCCTTGGAATTGCCCCCAGCGAAGGACAGAGGACAGGCCAGTGCCGAGGTGGCTGGACTTCGCTCCTGAATGGCTCGTGGCATCCTGAGACCTCAGGTGGGGCAGAGGGAGGACGGACAGAAGTCGGGTACATAGGCCAGTAAATACTCAGCTAACTCCTTAGTTTCCAACCCCCTGCTTCCCCAGGGGCTGGCCTGCCGGTGAGGTGCACACTGTCCACACCCTTGCCTGGCAGAGCCTACGGCGGCCCAGTCCCCCAGACGGGCAGGCTTGGAGGGACCCATATGCCCGTACCCTAAGGACCACTGGGGGGCTGGGCAGGGTGGGACAAAAGGCAGGGGATGGGAGAGGGACCAGGGCGGGTGAGTGGCTGCCTGCATCGGGGGTCCACGGGAATATCAACACGCTGTGTGCGGTAGCCGGATACCAGGGTAACTGCCTCTGGATTCGTGGGTGCTTTTAATTTTCATTTTTGTGAGTTCGTGTGTGCAGCACGTGACACCTGCATGCCTGGTGGAGAGCTGGCGCGCAGAGCAGACCTTCATTCTTCTGACGATCCCTTCCCTCCCTCCGCCCCTCCCTGCAGCTCTTGGTCCTTTTCCCATTTGCAAAAGATCAATCTCACTGTTTCCTAGTATCTATCTTTTATTTTGCACTTTAATTTATTTATACTTCGGGTTTCTCATATACAAGAAACGGCTCGATATTTAAGCTTGCGTGTCTGACGGATTTCGCGGAACACGGTGGTCTCGAGGTGTGTCTGCTTTCCTGCGAACGACTCACGTTTACCCTTCTCTGTAGCAGAGCAGGGCTCCAGGGTGCGTAAGCAGCACATCATTACAATGACCATAATACCTATAATTTAGTGATTATCAGTGACTGAGAAAGAGGGAGGAGGGGACAGAGCTGGGAACACAGGGCAGAGGAGCAGATTCGTTCTCAGAGGCTCTGCCCACTCCTCAGAAGGCCTGGGCCAGTCCTGCCACCCTGGGCCTCGTTTTCCCCACCTGCTCACAGAGGGCTTGCACAGGGGCTGCGTTCCTTGCACTCCAAGGTCTGCCAGCCTGGTGATCAACAGGGCCAGGCCGGGGGGTGGACGAAGGCCTGGCAGGGGGCCGAGGAGAGCTATTTCGGTCAAGGAGGGCTTTGTGGGCCTAGCCTCCATGAGCCCCAGGGCCAGTGCTGCCCACCGAGGGTCCTGGGCTGTCTGGAAGCCTGTCCTCCTCTCCCGAGGATCAAAGCCACGGCCAGAGGTGGACTGCAGTGTGGCCTGCGGGGACGGCAGGGTGGCGGCTGGGCCCTGCGTCCAGTCCTGGGAGGGGGCCTCATGGCTCATTGGAGAGTAAAAGGTTTTTAACTCAGATCCAAGGCATTTTGTCTCTGAACAAGCCAGACGCCTAAAATATTCATCAAAGGGCTGGGAGCAGTCTGGGGCCTGGTGGCTGGTACCACTGTTTGGTTGTGTTTTTTATTTTTAATTAATAGACTTTATTACCTAGAGAAGTTTTAGCTCTGCAGATAATTGAGTCGCTGGAGCAGAGCATGCCACTGCCCCTCGGTCTCCCTGCTGGGGTGGCCGCACGCCGGGCATCAGTGTGGACCCCGGGGGCAGTGTGCCAGCCAGGGTGCCCACCCTTGCCTCCCTCCCCTGCAGGAGAACCCCTACCTGTGCAGCAACGAGTGTGACGCCTCCAACCCCGACCTGGCCCACCCGCCGCGCCTCATGTTCGACCGCGAGGACGAGGGCCTGGCCACCTACTGGCAGAGCGTGACCTGGAGCCGCTACCCCAGTCCGCTGGAGGCCAACATCACCCTGTCCTGGAACAAGAGCGTGGAGCTGACCGACGACGTGGTGATGACCTTCGAGTACGGCCGGCCCACCGTCATGGTCCTGGAGAAGTCGCTGGACAATGGGCGCACGTGGCAGCCCTACCAGTTCTACGCCGAGGACTGCATGGAGGCCTTCGGCATGGCCGCACGCCGGGCCCGGGACATGTCCCCGTCCAGCGCCCACCGCGTGCTGTGCACCGAGGAGCACTCGCGCTGGGCTGGCTCCAAGAAGGAGAAGCACGTGCGCTTCGAGGTGCGGGACCGCTTCGCCATCTTCGCGGGCCCCGACCTGCGCAACATGGACAACCTGTACACGCGGCTGGAGAGCGCCAAGGGCCTCAAGGACTTCTTCACGCTCACCGACCTGCGCGTGCGCCTGCTGCGGCCCGCGCTGGGCGGCACCTACGTGCAACGCGAGAACCTGTACAAGTACTTCTACGCCATCTCCAACATCGAGGTCATCGGCAGGTAAGGTCGCGGGGCGGGGCCTGGGCTGTCACCCGGTTCCCGACGGTGCTGGCTGACGTCTGGGATGTCACCTGGTTCCTGGGGTATTCATGACCTGGTTCCCAAGACACATCTGTTACCCAGAATGTCACCTGGTGCTGGGCTGTCACCTGGGATTCAGCTGGCTCCCGGGTGTCGCTTATCGTCTGAGACATCGCCTTGTTCCTGGGATATTAGCTGCTGCAGAGGATGTCCGTGGTGACTGCCTGTGCCTCTGATGGCCGGGCTGTGCAGACAGCTGTCTGGGCTGTTCCGGGCAGGGTGCGTGTGTGGATGTTAACGTCCTCGCAGAGGGAGGGCTGGGCTAGCACCTGGGCTGTGCAGGGTGAGCCACTCCCCACTCACCCGGGGCCTTTCTGTCCGGGGGTCCTGCCGACCACCTCAGGCCCCACAGTGCACCCGAAAGACGGAGCTGGTGGGGCCGTGTTCTCGCAGCGCTGCCTTGTGTGGTGAAAGGCTGCAACCCGAAGGCAGAAGTGGAGAGCGGTGCCCAGGGAGGGGCCAGGAGCGCCAGGAGCAAACCTGCGGCCGTTCCCTCCCGGGGAGGCGCTGCACGAGCTGCGGGCGATTTCCTGGTCCTGCAAGTGCAGGTCACGTGTGCCCGTGGTGGGTACCGCGCTGGTCTCTAGGGCAGGGACCCCATCCTGGCCGTCTGCCTACTGAGGGTGGCCGGGGTTGGAGGAGTTAGCCGGCGAGGTGCTCAGCACGGGGCCTGGCACGTGGTGTGTGCTAAAGAAACTTCTGAATGAAATCCATACGGGTCGAAATACCGGCACGAGAGGCCTGGCAGACGGAGGGAGGACAGCGCTGGGACCCAAGGGTGTCGCAGCGTAACTGGGGCTTCAGCAGGAGCCGGGCCCGGGGCGAGTCTCCACGGCAGGCTGCAAGTTCTGCCCAAGCGTGCAATTCCTGACAGGTGGGAAAGGCAGCTTGCAGCCCGGTGTGTGCAGAGCAGTCTTATTTTTGTAAACTCTACCGTGTGTAATCTTGACACCGTTCACAGGCGTGGGAAAGAAATGTGCCGGGCCCGGGAGAAGCGCTGGGGGACACTGGAACCCCGCTCGCTCACAGCTGGCTGGCGGCTGGGCCCCACTGGTCGGGCGGGCCGGGGGGCACCCTCGCTCTCTGCGTCTGTTTGCATCTCACCCCACTGGGACGCAGCTGTGACTCCAGGTGGACAAAGGCTCAGATGAGTCTTCGGGGAGTAGGTCAGGTTCCAGGCTGCAGCAAAGGCGAGTGTGTGCGCGGGGGCCAGGGATGTGGGTGCCTGTGATTTCTAAGCCTCCTCCAACTGGGGTGAGAGCTGGAAATCAGGGATGTTCTGGACTCACCTGGTATCTAAGCACTGCCATGGAAGCCAGGGGCTGAGGGGTCCCCGAGGGTCCTGGCCTGTGTCCTGACTGCCTCGGGCTGCCACAGGGGACCCTGGCCTTCACCTTACACTTCCTGGGCAGCTCGCACAGGGTTCTGATGTCTGGGCCAGTGTGGGGTCCAGGCTGGGATGGTGACTGCGAAAGGTTCAGCAGGATGACTCGAATTCGGGCCTGTCCTCTGTGCCCCTCTCCGGGCCTTGGGTTTCTGTCTGTGACCACAGGACTGGGCTGCCCACCTCTCCCTGCAAGGTAGCAGGATGCTCCCCGCTGGGTGGCCCACACACCTTGGGACCCAGCACCTGGGCAGAGGGTTAGCTGTGGGGATCCATTCACGGAGAGTCCGTAGCTTCAGGCAGCTGCTTGGTAGGGAAGCAGCAGCTTGGTTGTGGATTAATTAGGTCTGGCTCGGTGCAGACATCCCCGATTTCCAGCTCTCATCCCAGTTGGAGGAGGCTTAGAAATCACAGGCACCCACATCCCTGGCCCCCGCGCACACACTCGCCTTTGCTGCAGCCTGGAATCTGACCTAGTCCCCGAAGACTCGCCCGAGCCTTTGTCCACCCTGGTGGTTCCACAAAGGGCTGTCACTGCCTCCACTTGCCCTTCTTCAGCTCCCTGGGAGTCCAGCTGCGGCCCCAGGGCAGACAGGCAGCACCCAAGGGCAAGGTGTAGGACCCAACACACGAGGCCCCCACAGGGTGTTGTCCAACAGGAAAGCACAGGCTGAACTAAATGACAGCCAAGATCCAAAGCCGCTTGTGTCCAGCTCTGACTGCCCTCGCAAGCTGAGCAGTTTCCATGGTGGGCGATCTCTGGCCGCTCATGGGATCCCAGAGTCCTTGCATGGGTGTCAGTCCCCAGCTCTGCACAGGTAGCAGGTATTCAAGCCGAAGGGGGAGGCCGGAGGGGGAGAGAGGACCCAGGGCCCTGGGAGACGGCGACTGGTACAAACCAGAGAATAAAGTGGAGGGACACAGCTGCAGGAGAAGGTCAGGATAGTAGCATAGAGGGAACCTAGCAGCCAGCACTTCCGGCAGCCCTCCCTGTCCCCAGCCCATTCCCGGAAGTCAGCAGGGGGCGGGGCTATTTTCTCCTTGTGCACCGGGGAGCTTGGGGCAGAGGCTGAGAGTCTGGGCAAAGCCGGGACGTGAGGAGGGAGTAGGCAGAACCCCCACCAGCACAAGGTCGAGCAGCGAGCCCCCACCTGCTGGGCTTCTCGCCCCAAAACAGGACTCCCAGCCCAGCTCGAAAGGTGGGGCCGGCCGGTGTGGGAGAGTCAGCCAGCTGCCTGCGGGTCCCTTCCAGGGAGCGTAGCTGGTGATCGCCCCCTGGGCCAACCTCGGCTTGCTCATCCGCAGAATGGAGACGCAGTGCTGACCTCGCCGGCTCTTGTGAGGAGGCAATGAAAGGCTGGGTTGGTAGGGCTGACCCCCTTGCTGGGCCTACACAGCAACCCAGAGGCACGCAGCACCGTGCGGCAGGCCACGGCGGTCTGGGGCTTGGGGAAAGCTCTCGGCGCTCCCAGGAGCCAGCCGGCTAGGCCCTTGCTGGCCAGCGCTGGGCAGCCAGGAGTGAACTCCGCACCGCCCGCAGGGTTGGAGCCGGCCGGGGCGGTGTGTGTGGGAGCTGATGCAGAGCAGCCCCGTGCACCAGATTAAGGCGACAGCCGTACCTGCGGGTGAACAGAAGGAACCCTGGGCACCCAGCACCCGCTGTGCTCCGGCCAGGCATCCCGGCCACGCCCTGCTCCCGGCCGGGGAGGCTGTCCTGGGCCTGGACTTCGGGGCTCCCCGACCCACCACCGGCCCTGGGCCCCCTGCCTGCCCCCTCCTCCCCGCTCCCGCCCCTGCCTCTGTCTGTCCTCTGCGGACATGCGGTCCCTATTGATCGCTGGTAACTGGAGATGGGAGCGCTGGGCCAGAATAGCAACGCAGAGGCAAGCAGAGCTTGGAGGGCCGGGCGGGGCAGGGCGGGGCGGGGCGGGGTGCTTCCCCTTGCCAGGCCCTTTCCTCAGTGCTCCGCAGGAGCTCAGGCCAGAAGGGGGCCCTGAGGCGCTCCTGGCAGGGGGACCTTGAGCTCAGAGGGCTGAGCTGCCTCCGAAGCAGCAGCCAGGGCTCCCGGAGTGGGCGGTGCCCAGAGTCCGACCCTGTGAGGACCCTCGCGCCCACTGCACAGATGTGGAAACTGAGTCCAGGAAGAGCAAAACAGCGGGGTGGCTCCCATGAGAAAGGCAGGAAAAGAGTGCTGGCTGGGGCGGGGAGAGGCGTGTGCACTGCCGAAGGGGGTGTAAAGTGGCACAGCCACTTTGGAGAACACCCTGGTGGTTCCTGGAAAAGTTCGGATTATCATAGGACCAATTCAGTCAATTCTTCTATGACTATATGCAAAATAATCGAAGGCAGGGACTTGAAGAGAGAGTAATGCATCCACGTCCCCAGCAGCGTTACTCAGGATAGCCAAAAGGTGGGAACTACCCCAATATGTGCTGATGGATGAATGGGTAAATGACATGTGGTGTATTCACACAGTGAAATATTACTCACTCCTAAAAAAGGAAAGACTGTGGCACATGCTTTGACATGGATAAAGCATGAGGCATTACAGGCAGTGAGAGAAGTTGATTGCAAAAAGATAATCTTCGCATTCCATTTATATGAGGCCCCTAGAGCTCTCACATTCATATAGACAGACAGAAAGTGGGCCCTGGGGTGGGGGTGACAGGGTTAATGTGTGTGGGGACAGAGTTCCGGTGTGGGAGGATGGAAGAGTTTGCAAATGGACAGTGATGACGTTTGCACAACATTTTGGATTACTCAGTGGTAACAACTGAATACTTTGACATGGCAGGGGGGTAAATTTTATGTTTTGTAGATTTTACCATGTTTAAAGTAGATGGTGGAGAAATCCTGGGACCCGTGTGACCGTGGGGACAGGTTTCCTAACCTGTCCACATTCCTTCCCACTTCCCTAAGGGGAGCCCGGGGCCAGGGTGCTTGGCCGGCGCCTCCCTGTGGAGCTCCGGCCGGGGACCCCTGGGGGCCTGTGGCCGGCACCGTCCTTGCCGTGCTGAAAGAGCACTGGGCCCCGGGCAGGTGGCCCACAGCCCTCAGGACGCCTGGCTCTGAGCACCGTGTGTGTGGCCCGAGGGGAGGAGCACCCCAGTTTCTGTCCGTTCTCAAAGGGCCCCGCGGTCCGCGAGCGTCTGGAAAGCCTCCGCTTCCCTCAGAGAGTGAAGTGTGTGACGGGTGTGGCGGTGCGCACCTGTCACCCCAGCCCTCAGGAGGCCGAGACACAGAAGTGCTGTGAGCTGGACGCCAGCCCGGGCTGCACCGTGAGTTCACAGCCAGCCTGAGCTGCATAGTGAGACCCAGTCTCAAAAAAAATCCAGAAAGCAGCGCATAACTATGGTCATTCACTGAGAGCCAAAGGCCGACGGGGACAGGAAGGGACGTGGGATTCCCGAGGCCTGGGAAGTGTGAGGAACCAGTCTAAAACCGGGTGTCACAGGCTCGCTCTGAGCCAGGGGGCAGCGATCGTCGGTGGCCTGGTCTCAGACGCGCGGCTCCGACCTCGGCCTCGTCCTCTCCT